CCTTTTGCTTCAGCTTCCTCCCCTCCCTCTTTTTCTTTTCTTTTCTCTTCTTTTTCTTTTCCTTCCTTCCTTCACATTTATTTTTGTTCTCTCTCTTTCTCCCTCCCCCCTTCCCTCTTTCTCCTCCTCTTCTTCCTCCTTCTCCTCTTTTTCAGTACTAGGGCTTGACTGAGGACCTCGGGCTTGCCAGGCAGGCAGGCAGGCAGGCACTTATGCCCCTGAGCTATCCCCAGCCCTTTGTACTTTTTTAGTATAGGGTCTCACTACACAGATTGGACTCATAATGATCTTTCTGTTTTTAGCTTCCAAAGTGCTGGGGTTACAGGCTTGCACCACCATACCCTTTCACAATCACAGTCTCAGCGTGTATTGGGGACCTGGCTGGCAGGGCTTGTGGTGGTGGGGATGGAATCCCAGTCCCTGTGCTCTGCCTAAACAAGTGCTTTAGTCCACTGAGCTATCTGGCTGGCCCTCTAGTGTTTGTTTTTAAAAAGATCTTTTGTTGTATGTTTTTGACAAAGTTGATAGAAAAAAAAGTGCTGAATTTTAAATTTGAGTGGAAGGATGAATTGGTAGTGTAAATCAGTGAACTGAGTACTTTAAATTGTATTGTTTTTAATGTTTTTTTCATTTTTAATTTATTGTATTATTTTATTTTGGTACTGGGCAGAAGGATTTTTTTTTTTTTCTCTGAATACCTTCAGGGCAGGTTTGGCAGGATTGAGTTGTGGGGATTGAACCACAGTAACCTGAGCCTGACTGCTTTGTTGAAGCAGCCACTTAAAGAACTGAGCTACGGGGCAGGCCTCCATGGTACTGGGGATTGAACTCAGGACCTTGCCCTTGCTAGGAAGGCACTTAGGCCACTGAGTTCTATATCAAGAGTCCTATTTTTAAATTTTAGTTATTTTTGTGAGACAGGATCTCGCTATGTAGTTCATGCTGGACTTGAACTTCCTTATGTCCCAGGCTTGCCTTCAGTTTCAGTGGTCCTTCTGCCTCAGACTCCTGAGTGCTGGGGATTGCAGGCATTGTTCCACCATGCGTGGCTAACTGATTCTTCTTTTTCAGGTTCAAATCAATTTTATTAGTGAGGTGCAAGTGACAGCTTCTTTTTTAAAATACCTCCCCAGTCCTGTGTTCAAATGTTCCATTTTAAGGTTTTGTGAACAGATGTGTGTCTTCTGTCTCCTTCCAGCGATGTGCATTTTGTAAGCACCTTGGAGCCACTATCAAATGCTGTGAAGAGAAGTGTACCCAGATGTACCATTACCCTTGTGCTGCAGGAGCTGGCACTTTTCAGGACTTCAGTCACTTCTTCCTTCTTTGTCCAGAGCACATTGACCAAGCTCCTGAACGATGTAAGTTTACCTCAGATGTATTTTAAAACTGTTGCCATTGTGTTTACTTCCAGCAGCATCACTGGTATTAAAAAGGGATGTTTGTGATCCTGTTATAGTCTGAGGGATTTTTTTTTTTATTAGCAGATTCCTTGAAATTAATCCCAAAATGTTGCCTCCTCAAAAACTCAAGGAGGATTTATATTCTTATTTAAAGAACAATTTAAAGCACTGTAGAAATACAAACCAAGTAAGTGGTATTTTTGGTATGTATTGTAAAGCAGTTTATTAAGAGACTAAATAGTATTCCATATCTTTAAAACAAGTAGCACCTAGTGAGAAAGTTCAAAGGTGACTTTCTTGAGTATTAATTCAAGCCGTCATTATGGGAATATTAAACGCTGAGGTCGTGCACATGGCGTGGCCTTGACAGCACGATGCGGATCTCTGTAACACCTCTTCCTGATCATCCACCTTGGTCACGTGTGATCTGTAGTGGTGCTGCTTTCCTGCCCACCCCCCCACCCCCCACAGTATTTTATAATCTTACAATTTATCAAAAATGTTTGATTGTATAAATTCTTTTTTTTTGGTGGAACTGGGGATTGAATTCAGGCCCTTGCGCTTTTCAGGCAAGCACTTATTCTACTGAGCCATCTCCCTGGCCCATGATTGCATAAATTCTGTGTTCTACAGAAAATAATTTTTTACTATTTTATTGTGAAAGATACTATTTTTTTCACTATGTGGATTTCTAAAGAGTATATTTCGAGACCTTGTTTCACCTAATAAATTTTATTTTTAGTCTTATAAGGGAATCTCCATAATATTTTATTTAGTCTTGTGTATGTGCGTAACCAGGGATTGAACTCAGGCCCTGCGCTTGCCAGACAGGTGCTTATTCTACTGAGCCATCTCCCTGGCCCCTAATCTTTTTTTTCTGTATTGCCTCTTACTTAATTTCTAGCCTTTACCTGTTCCTTAATAATATTTTTTTTTAAATATTTATTTATTTTTATTTATTACATTTATTTATTGTGTGTGTGTGTGGCCAGCTCAGCCCACCAGGGGGCGGGTCTGGCTGGCATGTGGTGCTGGGGATCGAACCGCGGTCCCTGTGCTTTGCCAAGCTTGTTTCAAGTAGGTGCTTTAGACCACTGAGCCATCTCTCCAGCCCTCCTTAATAATATTGATAAAACTCTTTTTTTCCTGTTTTCCCCAGATCTGTGAAATATAAGTATAGCTACTTTAGGTTTAACCTAAATTAACTTCAAATACAGTTAGATTATACTGTTACTGTTTATCGCTGTTTTATACTATAATTTCATCTTCAGTTAAAGTTACTTTGTGTCCCCGAATGTAATAGTATAACCTTCTTTACTATAGAGACTTGAATCATAGGTAGGACTGACTCAAATTTCTAGTTATATTTAGATTAATAAAGGACTTAAAATTTAAGAAAGTGTTTTGGATTGCACACTATAAAATGTGGGAGAAAAAGAACATACATGCTGAGTAACTATTGTGTGTGTTACTTACATAGTGAATTATTTCACTTACTGTGTAACCGTACGTGTCAGTTGCTTATATTCTGGGTGATATGACACACTTTGCCAAACAAATAAACCAGGGTGTGTGTGTGTGTGTGTGTGTGAGAGAGAGAGAGAGAGAGAGAGAGAGAGAGAGAGAGAGAGAATTTTATCCATCCTTTCAGACTCAGTCATGCTTTATGCCTCTGAACAACTTAAATATGCATATGTTTCTAATGTTAGAAATTGATTGGCTAATGCCCCTGCTGCCTTCCACTGGGGTCTGTTCTAATCATGTATACCTGCAGTTACATGATAGTCCCTGTTCTACAAGTATCATGAAGCAATTTGTATAATGATGAACTATACGAATGTGGTAAGACAGTTTGCTCTCATTTATCGTGCAGTTTGTGACAGTTTTATGCTGCTAGCTTGCAGCTAAAATATACACTGAAACCACTCAGTGATTCTGAAATAGACCTATGGTGATGCATAAAAATACATGAACAAGTAGGATAAAGTAAAACTAATGTAAGGATATTTGTCCATGGCAAATACAGATTGGACAGAGGTGTAGGTAATGGTGAGCCTGATAGTCAGAAGCAGTTTGTACTTTCCGGATGTAAACCACAAATTTGGCTCTAGACCTTTCAGTGATGCACACAAAGAAGGAAATCAGAGTGTGTGTCTGACTCGCAGTACATATAACAGGAACTCACGTGCTCCCGCGTCTACATGTTGTAGGGAAACATGTCTTAAAGTAGCTGGTCGTCAGTGTAAACAAATTCCACGGGCGATTGTGTATAATGACAGTCTAACTAAGCCAGTGGTATAAAACTAGTGCCCAACTAAATAAATCCTGTTCTTCAGGAACCTTCAGTTATACATTCTAAATTCATAGCTTTCTTACCATGTTATCTTAATCCAGGGATACAATTTAAAGATTATTGCAGATGTTCAGCAGTACCTCTTTTTTTCAATTGTGCATCATGGTGCAAGGTACTTTTTATGTTTTTAGAATGAGTGTATCTTAAATTGCCGCGTTACAATGTTTAAGTGATAGTAATTAATGGAACTCACATAGCTTTGTGCTTCTCTCTCTCTCTTTTTTTTTTTTTTTGGCGGAACTGGGGATTGAACTCAGGCCCTTGCGCTTACCAGGGAAGCGCTTATTCCTTTGAGCCATCTCCCTGGCCCCTAGCTTTGTGCTTCTGTATGTTAATTGCTTTACAAAAGTATGCTGATTTGGTCCTTCTTAAATTGGTCCCATATGACAGCAGCTTTATTTTGATTGTTCTTCACCAGCGCCTTTATTCTTTTGTGCTTCTTGGACTGCCTTGCGCACATATGTCATCTTCCATTTGAGCAAATTTAAGAATCTGTGATAAGCCCCCTTTTAATTTAAGTTCAGTGTTTGTCTTTTTTCCTGTCTCTTCTCTTTCCAGAGCTGTTAGTTAGGAAATGATCATCTCCAAAGTATATCCTTCTGATTTTTTTTTTTTTACTTTTCCTCCTACAAAAGAACCTTACTCTCCCTAATTCATTCAGCTTTTTGTGTCCTCTGCCTCTGCCGGCACCTTCTTTTCTACCTTTCATGTGTATCAGGTATTCTCTCCTTTCATTGATTAGTAGTGAAGTTTGTTTAGGAGTCAGTATTGATTAATAAGCAGTAACAAGTATGATCACTGGAGCCAGGTAGACTTGGATTCTACTCTTGCCCTCTTAAATTAGCTTTATTTTTTTATTTTTTTAATTTTTTTGGTATTTTTATTTTAAAGGAAGTAAAACGAACAATAAAATGACACAATTTTTAAATAAGATGATAAAAGATTAACAAAGCTTGTTATATTGTATATTGTTATTTTTTGTTTCTCAGATCACCAGATATAAAATGTAAACTTGATCAAGCATTATAAACACTAATTGTTCCGTTCAATGAACTAATAGAAATTAGCAGTAAAATTATCTTTGATATCATATATATTTTTTCCTTCCTTCTTTTCTCCTTTCCCTCATCCCATTTTTTTTCCATAATTTTTTTGAGAGACAAATAGCAATGAGACAGTTTCAAATCAAATTGGTAGGACAGTTTCAATAATTAACACATTGCATACTCTCTTCCTAGTGGTTATTTGCTGTACAAGATGCAGACATGATATCCTATTTACAAACACCATTAGAACAAATCCCTCTATTCATTAAGAGAATGTAACTATATATCTATCCTAACCACTTTGAATACACAGATACAAAATGGACATTCTTCTTTATCCCTTTTTTTGGTTTAGTTCCGTCATTTGAATATTATAGGTGTATTAACTCAGCAAAATATTCTAAAAGAGTCCCGTAATCCATAATAGTATTGGGTTTAATCCAGCTATTCCTCTACTGGGAATTTTCCCAGAGGATCTGAAAACACCACTCTTTTCCTAGCAGCCATCCTATTTACATACCCATCCAGAGTGTGGGAATGTTCCCTTTTCTTCACACCCTTGCAGCGTTTGTTATCTTTTGCCTGTAATCCCAGTGCTGGGGAGGCTGAAAACAAGAGGATCACTTCGAGTCTGAGTTGCGTAGTGAGACCCGGGCCTGGGCTAGGACTGGATCTAGCTTTAGTTCTTAAATCTCGTTCTTTTCCAGCTGCTTACATTTCCACTTAATTGTTTAATTATTGCTTCAGTCCTAACCCCTTTTTGATGTACAGACATATGCGAATTTTGTATAACGTATACTATTATGTAACACACATGTCCTGTTTTTCCTCCGACATGACATCATAGCAATCTAGTAAGCTATTTTGTATCTAACTGAGAAAAAGCTGTTGTAATAGCTCTGCACATGTTTGCTCCTTCACCAGGGAGGAGGTTGGAACCGACGTCATTTCTTTGTATAGTGCTTTTTTCTATTACTTTTTTAATATAACATATAGTAAATGTTTTTTGTACTTGGTGTATCACATTGATTATTTGATGTTCTGTGGTAATTAAACAATATGACCAGATTATCTCTTAAGAAATTGCTAGAAACTTAAAAAGTGGTCAGTGTGACAAGGATATAGAATGTTGTATTGTTCCAGAGTGGGTTTTGCTGTACAGAATAGCTCTGTGAAATGGAAGTGTATTGTGTGAACTACAGCAGTAATTGAAGTTGTTCTAGTAGTCTTGTTAAGGGTTAAAAATGTGAATATTTGATGTGAATTTTATCAATGTATTTTACTTAATCCCCCATATGTAAGATACAGATATTCCAATATCTAATCACTATGCAAATAGTTTTGAGGTACTTGACTTTTTCTCCTGCTAAGCCTTTGGAGGCCAATATCTATTTTATATTTAGTGTATACCTCAGTTTGGATTAGTGACAGTGCAGCCATGCGGGTGTGGTAAGAGAGCCTCAGGGAAGATGTTTCAGTGGGGTTTTGAGGCTGCTTTGGAGTAGGCTGGGCACAGCATTTTTGGCAGAGGAGTAGAATGTGCAAAAATAGAGGCATTGAAGGCAGGTTGTGTTAGGTGTGCAGCAGGCTACTTACTGTAACAAGAAAATAGTGGTTCTGATCTTAGATTAGAGTGATTGTCTTTAGAAGATACTGTAATTATTAAGGCAATTTGTGATAGACACATTTTAAAAAAATAGAATGGTTATCTAAAGTTTAGTAAGAATTGCACTTGATCTTAGCCACAAAGTGGAGAATTGATAACAAGAATAGGTATCTTGTCAGATGTGCCGAATGAGTGAAGAGTCAACAGTGCTATCTTTCTACCCATTCTTTTGAGAAAAAAGGAAGGTTTTTTTTTGAGGGTAAAACTTTATTGGAAAGGAAAGCTTCTGTCGAGAGGGATAGAAGGCGGGGGGGGGGGGGAAGCTGTCTCTTCCAGGGACTTCTATAGTGTGAAACCATGAGGGGCTGAGGTGGAGAAAGGGGGCACTCGCTTAGGTGGATGTGGGGTGGGACAAAGCTATGGTCTACCAATGGGATTACAAGTACCACTGCTCAGGTAAAATTGATTAGGCCCAGGACCAAATGGGGAAGGGAGTCACATAGCAAGCGGGCATGAATATAAAACAGGACCTTATCAGGTAGCCATCAGATAAGGATCCTCCCTGGCCTTCTCAGGGTGAGGATCAGTCCGGGATGTAAAATGAAGAACTTTTAAGTTGCATTTTAGAGTTGCTGAATGTGTTTTTAGAAAATTGACTATTATTAAGCTCCAATAAAACTTGAAAATAAAGTTTTGGAATTTTTTTTTTTTTAAACTGCACTTAAATAATGCTATCTTAGTTTTTAAAAAACTGTGTATAGCAAAAAGTCTGCAGTAACAATACAGTGGCTCATAAAGCCTAAATATTTATTATCTAGCCCTTTGCTAGCTAAGTTCAGAAAAAATTTACTGGTTCTTGGCACAAGTGAAAGGAGTATTACTGCTCTATTTGAAGATTGTTAATGGGAAAGAAAGAAGATAAAAAGTGCTGTTAGCCCAAGAGGAAGAGATAGAACTGAGAAAACCTGCAACAAGGTGTTGAGTGAACACATATACTTTGTGGTATATTTTATTATTATTACTGTTTTTTAATGTATTTGGTTGTTACAGGGTCTCACTATGCAGCTTGGACTCATAGTGATCCTCCTGTTTTCAGCCGCACCAGCACTGGGATTATAGGAGTGCACCAATACACTGGGACTCGGTGGCCGCCTCAGCCCGCCCTGGAGGTGGGCCTGGCATGGCATGTGGTGCCAGCGATCGAACCATGGTCCCTGCACTTGCCTAAGCACACGCTGTAGTCTGCTGAGCTATCTCGCCGGCCCCATTTGTGATATGTTTTATACGTAACACAATTTCTGTTACGTAAAATTGGTATGAGTTTAGAATGTATCGATTTTCTTCTTATATTGTATTATAACTGCTATTTGTAATGTAACAGTATTGTTCAAAGTGTTGTGTTTATTTTTACATTTATTTTTGTGTTGCTTATAATAGAAATGTTAGAAGGCACCTTTGCTTTCAATCATCACTTAGGAATATTATCTATAAGAATATTGCTTTTAACACTTTTACAAAAGGCAATCAGTGAGTATAGGATTAGCATGTAAAACACTGTATGTATAAATATGTGGCGTCAGTCTCTAGTAGACTCTTGTGTAAATCATTTTCCAATGTTTAAAAAACACTATTAAGTTTGAATAATCTGTTTTATGGTTAAGCATTTTAATCTCATTAAATTTAATTTTATCTTATTGTAATTTCCAAATACTGAATCCAAATAAAACATTTATTTTTACCTTATAAGCATCTCTCAAGTTTTTTTCCCCCCCCTTGTTTGGTTCTTTACAGGAACTATATATTTAACATTAAATGTGTGGTATTATCATTGGCATCAAGAGAGAGAAGAATTGTGTATGGTCTCAAGCTGATTGATATAGGCACAAATAATTGCAAAATTACATCATTAATCTTAAAATAATTTAGATTAAATACACTATAATATTTTTATAGAGACCTTATGCTGCCTGAATGTTAGTTCGATGTGGATAACTTAAAAAGTCTAAACGATTTATCATGCGAATCCCTTCTAGTGATTTTTTTAAACTGTCAAGTCAGAAAAATATTAAATTCTTACGCAACAATTTCATTGTTTTGCTGTTAATTATAGCAAAGGAAGATGCAAACTGTGCAGTGTGCGACAGCCCGGGAGACCTCTTAGATCAGTTCTTTTGTACTACTTGTGGCCAGCACTATCATGGAATGTGCCTGGACATAGCGGTCACTCCATTAAAACGTGCAGGTTGGCAGTGTCCTGAGTGCAAAGTGTGCCAGAACTGCAAGTAAGTTTTGCTTTCAACTCAAAGATGTGCATTGAGTTTAAGAGAGGCCCTGTCTTAGGGTCTCAAGGGTTATATGATACGATAAAAACTTGTCCGTTTGCAGCTATGTTCATACAAACTGACTTTATTCCTTAAATTGTTGGATTTTACTAACCTTTCTATTATTTTGAAATAGTTGTAAACAAAGTTGATTTTAGTAATGTAAATTCCTCTGGTTGCTTAAAAAGCTAATTTAAGGGGCCGGGGAGATGGCTCAGTGGAATAAGTGCTTCCCTGGCAAGCTCAAGGGCCTGAGTTCAATCCCCCGTTCCCCAAAAAAGAAAAGTTAATTTAAATGTGCCAACAATTTGTAAATAAATCAGATTAATAGTTTATACAGAAAAGTAAGTTTTTCTTGAGAGGAATTAGGGAGGAGCTATAATAGGAAAATGAAGTTCTAACTACAGAAATCAATTACTAGAGTTGATGCCTTCCAAATGTATTTGGATTTCTATTGCAGGAAGAACTGTTTCTATTAAGACTATTGTTGTAATAGTCTTTATATCTATCTAATAGGCAAGTATCTCCAGTAGATTATAGTTAGCATAATTCTCAAACAAAGTGTTGTGTGGCATTTTAAAATTTGTCATAGGGTTATCTTTTCCTATTTGCTGCATTCCATCCCTTGATCTTTTTTCCAAGTCTTGCCTGTGACTCCTCATTCTTGATTCTGTAGTGAGGTCAGCAATTTGGGGTGTTACTAATATCTTCTTCAATCTTAAAACTGTTTATAAGCTGAGACTTTTATAGTGATGAGGAAATTATGCCCTGCCTCGCCATGGTCGGTTTGTTTCAGTAGTTAGTACTGAACATCTGTGTCTTAGAAGAAATCAGACCACTTCTTATTTGGTAAAAATTAGGTGATGCCTTATATTTGTACTTAGTTTCTTGGGGGAGGACTAAGAGAACTTGAGTAGAGTGTTTGTCTGTCTCCAAGATCTTTGCATGTAGCTGAGGGGATACAGCCTGGAACTCTGCAGTGGTTTTCACTTTCTCCTCCTCTTGAATTAAATTCTTAGTATTTGAAAGTGGTTCCTTGCCAAGAATTGAGACAGTAATCATGTTGCAGGCGAGGGGCCCAATTTTTGGAGCAAACAGTGTTTTGAGAATACTCAGTTTTCAACTGTAATTCTTACCAAGATTATTTTTCTTAATGCATGATTTAGTACCTATGCTTAATGGATAGTCTAAGTTCAACTGGCATCATATTTAGCTTTCAGGGAATCATCGCTGATTATCCCTATTTTATACATGAAATTCACCTTAACTCCAAGTTGTTAAGACGTCTCACAGCTTGGCAACAACAGCTTGAGTATAAATACAGATCTGATGCCAAATTTGATTCTCTTTTATTAGAGGACAGTGTCTCTCCAATTCACAGTACCTTTTGACACATTACCACGCAGTGGCTATAGCTCCTTCCTCCTGTAAGGATGTATATTAGACTTTCAAAAAGTACAGATAGTGATAGTGAACGTTTTAGAAGCTGAGTGCCCGAGCTGCAACCTGGAGCTCGCGGAGTGCCAGCAATGCAATTACACCTGGCTGCTTGGCTGCTGGGGTGGTACTGTGGTCACTTGGGGTGCTGCCTGAGGTTTGGCCTGAGGAAGGGTTATTCATCTTGTCTTAACCTCCCCTACAGGAATCCTAAATGCGTAAAGCACGTTAACCACAGGTTATCTTCAAGGATAATTCTTTAGGGTCCTATGGTAGGAACAGAGACAAAACAGATACCGAGGTATCTATGAACTGTGAAGTTTCTACAACTGATTCTTTTAGTGAATACTCGTGTTTAAAGAGAAGGCATCATTAATGCTATCTTATTTTTTAGACAATCGGGAGAAGATAGCAAGATGCTAGTGTGTGATACGTGTGACAAAGGGTATCATACTTTTTGTCTTCAACCAGTTATGAAATCAGTACCAACCAATGGCTGGAAATGCAAAGTAAGTTGTTTGTTTTTTAAGAAACCTACCCCTCTGTATGTTTTATGTAGCTAGTAAATTGGATATCTGTTCAAATCTACACATTATCATCAACTTAATTTTTTGGCTTTTTTGAGACTGGCTTTTACTATGCAATTCAGCCTGGCCTTGGAGTCACTGTTTGGCCCAGGCTGGCCTTGAATGTGCAGCAGTCCTCCTGCCTCAACCACCCCAGTGCTGAGATTACAGGTATGCACCACCATGCTGTGCTACAATCTTTAAAAAACCAATTTTATTGATGTGTAGTCGATACATGCAACTGTTATTTAAAGTTTAACTTCACACATGAAACTATCATCCTTTTCAAGATAATGGATATTGTTGCCATCCCCAAAATTTTCTGGTACTATTTGGGGATCTGTCCTTCCTGGCTATTGATACCTTTCTTTGGTTTTCCTGGGGATTTTTTTCTCACAAAAAAGATTTTCTCACAAATAAGAGTGTTCTTATTCTAGCATTTTGTATATAAATACCATCTTATGATAAAAAATTCTTTTTAAAAATATGACTTATTTTACTCTATTTTCTTGAGGTTTGTCCCCATCATTGTGCATATCAGTAGTGATTCCTTTTTATTAATGTGTTATAAATGCCACAGTTCATTAAATCATCTGTTGATAAACACTTGAGTTTACAATTTTGACTGTTATTAAAAGATGCTGTGACTTTAGCTAACATTTGTTTGCTGCTTCAGGAACAAAATTGATTTTGCATTATTCATCAATCTTCCCAAAACCCTGAAGTATCTGGACACTTAAAGTGATATATTTTAAAAACTGTAATTGAGGTGTAAAAATGTATCTTATTTTTTAAGCACAAAGATTATCAAGAGCTTTGCAGAGTGAACCTCAGAGCTTTACACCTAAGACACTTGTCACTGATGGAACGGCTCTGGGTTTCGTTACAGTTATGTTATAGTTATATGTAGTCTTTGTGTATGTGCACACACATATATTAAATATATGAAATCATGAGGATAACTTTTGGCTTCCTCTTTCCCTGTGGTAGTTTTAAGTAAATTATTATTGACTGAGTTATTTCTTTGTTAGATGCTGTCAGAAATTTTTTTGTTTGAGATTTGGTTAGGATCGCTATATATATATTTTTTCCTGTCACTCACTTTTCTGTTACTTAATATATATCATGATTTCTAATTGGTAGGATTTTTTTTTTGTCCTTAGAAACAGGGCCTTGCTTTGTAGTTCTGGCTGGCCTTGAACTTGCTGTGTAACTGCCTATGCTGGCCTTGAACTCATGGCGAGTCTCCGGTCTGACTCAGCCTTCCAAGTACTGGGACTATAAGTGTGTCCCAGTCACCATCCCTGCCTGCAAACCTTATTAAGATCTATTTGCAGTTACTATTATTTTTTCCTGGTTGTTCTTTCCCTCAGCAATTCCCCCTTCCCATCTGCTTTTCTATGAGATGTTCCTTGCTGGTCAGAAATATGCTGAGATTCTCTCATTAATTTTGATAATTCCTGTGCTTGGCTGACAACTGTGTCTTTAACAGTTTGTATAGCTGCAATAAATGACAACAGATTTTAGAATATGTGTACACACAAGTGCAAAGAATTTAAATTTTTAACTAATAATGGAAGGTAAGAATAATTCAAACTGCTCTTAGGATGTGGGCTGCAACAAACTTAGAACTCCATATTCATAGTGTCTCCAGTAATTTTAGTTTAAAATAGTACCAGGCTGGGGAGATAGCTCAATAGAATAAGAGCATCCCTGGCAAGCACAAGGGCCTGAGTTCAATCCCCAGTTCTGAATGAATGAATGAATGAATGAATGAATGAATAAATAAATAAATAAATAGTACCACATAGAATTTATAAAATAAATATAGCAAATTAAAATATATTAATCTAACCTAACAAATTTGCTTTGAACCTAAATCCCTGATATTGGATTTAATATTAAGATACTTTCTCAGGCCTAGTTCAGTGCTTGAGCTTTTTCTTCAGGAGTGTTGTAGAAAATGCCTTTTTCCCTAGAGGTGCTGAGATTGAGCTCACGTTTTCGCCATGCTGAGTAGGTGCTTCATCACTAAGCCACAGGGACTGCCTTTTGTATAAAATTAGTATTGATAACACCATGGATTTTATTAGCTCAGGTTAACCAGGCTGACAGTGCCAGTAAGTGGCCTTCGAACATTACATTAGTTAATAAAATGTCACTCAGCTCTTTGAAGCCTGTATTGATAGGCTCTCTCCCGAGGCACAAATGAAATCTGTAATAAGTGCACTGTCAATCTAGTTATTTCTAAAATCAGTTTCTCAGTGCAACTTACTAGTATGCTGCCTTCCGATTAACTTGTAGGTAGGTATGTATGGAGGAAAGCTCTGCTTGCTCTCTGGATTTACCTGTGTGCACTGTGGATTATGACACTGGGCGCGTCATATACCTGCGCTATCTCCCCCTCCGCTGTTTTACCAGGTGAAAATCTTCCATCTCTGGTAGCACTTGTGACTAACATAATAAATACAAATACTAAATATGGGTAACAAAGTCTGTATTGCAGCATTCTTTGATGCTCAATTAAATTTTGTAGTTTTTGATTAGTATTGGTATGAAGTTTTAAGGCTGCAAAAACAGTTTTCCAAAATCAGCTCTCGCTGCAGCCTCACATTACTGCCTCAGTGGCACAGAAGCGCGCTTGTGGTGTGCTGTATGTGTCTGCCCCAGAAGCCGACCTTCCATATGTTCCCTGGTGCCCTTGTTGCGTTCTTGGTGCCCTCCTCCTTAGGTTAGGCTTCTCTTCTACCTCATGGGGCTGGTGGACCCCTCTGCTCGCTGGAGTGGTCTGGCCCGACCGACCTCTCTCCAAACTGCCTTCCTTGGCATCTTTCTGGCAAGCAGGATGCTCTGCTGCCACTCCTGAGGGTGAGGAGTGGAGAGAGAGCAAGAGGATTCCTCATCTGCACCCCCTTAGCCGGGAGGAGGACGGGCACCTGGCGCCTGAAGCAGCCTAAGGCGAGCACAAGTGGTTCCTGCCGGAAGGCAGATGCTGGGGCTTTTCTGGCTCGGGGCCATCACCTGGGGAACCCAGAGCCCTGGGTAGCTGCGCGCACGCGTAGTGCGGGGAGGCGGAGCCTGCGGGCCGAGTGAGGAAGGCTGGCTGGGCTCCTGCCCTTGCTCCCCGGTCCGGTCTGTGAGAGCTGCTTCTCTCTTCTCTTGAAGAGGGGCTGAGGAGCCGCGCACGCTGTCGGGCAGGTTGGTGCTCTTGTGCTTCCACATTCACTGAATGTAGCCTCTGCTTGCCTCTTTACTTTCTGAAATACGAAGTTGAAAATGTAATCCATTTTCTTTTCCTACACATTTTTAAGACTCTAAATCTATTTTTGGCTGTAACTTTGGTTGCGTTCAAATTTACTATGTTTGGGCCTGGTGAGATGGCTCAGTGGTCTAAAGCACCTACTTAGAACAAGCTTAGCAAAGCACAGGGACCACGGTTCAATCCCCCAGCACCACATGACAGCCAGCCCCGCCCCCTGGTGGGCTGAGCTGCCCCCCCCACAAAAATTAAAAAAAAAATTTACTAGGTTTATAACTTTTTTTTGTACTTGTAACTTTACATATGTTTAACCCTGACCTAATGGCTTTTTTTTTTTTCATGAACATACTGAAATTTGTCAATTTTAGCTTTAAATTGTATTTAGGAAATTTACTATATGTAGATTTTTTTTTTTAAATTTATTTATTTGTGTGTGTGTGTGTGTGTGGCCAGCTCAGCCCACCAGGGGGCGGGGCTGGCTGGCATGTGGTGCTGGGGGATTGAACTGCAGTCCCTGTGCTTTGCTAAGCTTGATCTAAGTAGGTGCTTTAGACCACTGAGCCATCTCACCAGCCCCATATGTAGATTTTTAAAACTTTTTTTTTTTTTTGATACTTGGATACTGGTTGTTTAAAAGTGAAATATATTGCAAATATGGCTTTTGTAATTTCATTGCTGGATGAAAATGTTTTCAGATTTTTTTTTTTTTTTTTTTTTTTTGAGGAGCCAGGGATTGAACTCAGGCCCTTGCGCTTGCCAGGGAACCTAATTGCTATTATTTCTTCTTTTTGTTCTGAGACAAATTTTTGTTATGCTGTTCAGGCTGGTCTCAAACTCAGAGTGATCCTCCTGTCTCAGCCTACTTTAAGTGCTGGGATTAGTGTGTACCACCATGACCAGCTTTAATAATTTTTGATGTGTTAAACTGATTTAAAAATTGATAAAACTACTGTAATTGGTTCTATCTTTCCTTATGCACTCCCACCCACACCCCGCATTTATTTTTGTGGCTGCTTCTTAGTAAAGCCACTGTTAATAAATTGTGCTTTTATTTCTGAGCAGTACTTGGGACTGAACCCAGTACTTTCTCACACTGATCTGTGTCCCGCCTTTTTTAAAACTTTGTTTTGAACAGGGGCTTGCTAAATTTCTTAGTCTGAAAGTGAAATTCAGATCCTGCTGTCTCCTGTCTCCCAGAGTGTTGGAATTACAGACATGTACCAATAGACTCAGCTTGTGCTTTTTATCAGTGTAGAAAATCACCCTTTAACCTCTGTAGCTTGCCCTTTTTCTTTTTTGTTTTCGCGGAACCAGGGATTGAAGTCAGGCCCTTGTGCTTGCCAGGCAAGCACTTGCTCTACTGAGCCATCTCCCCGGCCCAGCTTGCCCAGTCTGTCTTTGCTTCACCTGCGGTATGACCACATGATCTTTTAACATCTTTTTACTTTGGCTCTTTCTGTTCGTTTTCAAGGTTTAATAGAGCTGTTTAGATTGTTCATTGTAATTGAAGAACTTGTCTGTTGTAAGGCAAGCTTGTTCCTTCAAGTTTTCTGTTCATTAAGCTTTCTGCACTGATTTGTAGTTCCGATCTTTATGAATGTTAGTTATTATAAACTTTTTTAGTTATTATAAATGTTGAAAATACAAGATCTCTCTCATCCCCTACCCATTGCATATACTTTTCCCTTTTGTTTCTCTTTTGACTCAGTTAAATGAATATAGACCATAAACCTGATTGTATTTTCTTTTGCAAAAAATATATTTGCTCTGCTAATCCCAACTTTACTTTTAATTTTTTGGAATAATGGTTATGCTTAAAATTTTTTTTTTAATTTTCTGAAACCCATCATTTCTAAGAGAGTATCCTCTTTAAACTGCCATAGAAACCTATACTCTAGGATCATTTTATCCAGAGCTGTTCAGTTTATGGTATTATAGATGAAAAATGTTACTCATTTAAAAACACTTATTTTGATATATTTGTTTTTATCTGCCTGAAGCTTAGAGATCTTTATCTTTAATTTTTGGGTTTGCTTCCTGAATCTAGGTACTAATGTGGTCCTATGATGATTAATTTGTGCCCTGGTTACATTGCCCACTCTCAGACCCATTTAAGGACTGAAAGAGTGTTTTTGTTTTAAATACAATACTTGTCTGCTTTTTACAAAAATATTAACATTCTGTATATTCTCTTTAATAATATTGTAGTAGCAGCTCAACAGATTTTGTTTCTTTCAATTCATAATCTAATGCTTTCCATTGTCTTGGGAAACCTTCTGTAGCTTTTTTAAAAATGTATGTAGTACAGGGTATACAGGGTCTCACTTCGTAGATCGGACTCCTAGTGATTCTCCTGTTTTCAAACTCCCAAGCACTGGGATTATAGGTGGGCGTCACCACGCCCAATTTCAGTTGCCATCTCAGTGTGCCCCGGGAGTGGGGAGGCACGGCCTGCTGGAGATCGAACCCTGGCCACTGTGCTCTGCCTGAAGAGTTGCTTTAGTCAGCTGAGCTATCTGGCAGGCCCTTCTGTAGCATTCCTCTTGTCTTTCTCAGCTTGTTCCCTGACTTCCTTTGGTTACTCTGGCGCACTGCTCTCTGATAGTCTGCTCTTCTTTCAGACTGATAGAATTGTACACAGTATTGCTGAGAACACTAGTGGATAATTTCTAAATTCTCTTTGAATTAATACATAATGCAGGGGCCGTAGAGATGGCTCAGTAGAATAAGCGCTTCCCTGGCAAGCACAAGGGCCTGCGTTCAATCCCCAGTTTCGCAAAAAAACCAAAAACACGCAATGGTTAATTGCCTAAGCTGTTGAGTGAAATTCTGGCTTCTTTTTTTTTTTTTCCCCATTTAGTAAAGACACACAGTCCAACAAGTTGTTAGATTTTCTCAAGTCTCTGTGTAGAATCTTAAGTTCTGAACTGCCACAGGTGTTGGAGTTTGTGTGATGAGCTGCGTAAAGTGGCCGGCACAATGCCTGACGTTAGTGAATACCCAAGTACTGCCCAGAAGTTTGAAAAGGGAAGCCCCTCCCACGGGTGGCCTTTGCCTCTGGTCCTCAGTTCCCTCATGGTTCTCTGGAGTCTGTGTTATTCATGGATTCAGCATTCCTGGGGCAGGGGCTGGAGATGCTGGGGGCAGCAGCTGTGCCCTGTTAGGTGCCCATCTGGATAAGATGCACTCGAATGGGGCAGAGTGTGTGCCGGGGTTGGTGTGGGTGGACCTCTGGCATGTGTGCTCCTGCCAGTGCTTTGCATCATTACAAGCTCTAAAGTATTTGCCATCACTGCTACATCTTTCCTGAGCGCCGTAATTGTCCAGCCAGCTGCTTGCTTCTCTTTCTCACGAATGCTGGTGTTTGGTATAATATGCACTAAATTATTTTTTATTTGAAAATAATTTTAAACTTTAAAAGTTAGGAGAATAAAAACTGTGTCTGTTATGCCAGTTGCGTTGAATGGGTCGTACTGTTGTTAGCAAGAGTTCTTTAGTTCCTCAGCTATCAAGAAGCAGATGGAATGCTGCTGCAGCAGCAGTACTTTGGTTGCTGTAGTAGTGGGTTGAGCAGATGTATTCCGTAAAATTTCTTTCCTGATGTTGGTATATGGTTTATTCTGAAGTTTCGGGTGTGGTGGTTTTGGTTTCTTTCTCTCACATTCATACTTTCCTGGGTCCCCCCAACCCCTTTAAATTTTCCTGGAGATCTTAGTGCAAATTTTATGTGGTACCTCATTCAAAACAAATTGCTTTTCCGAAAGCACGTTCCTTTAGATGGTCTCAGGAAAATTAAGCCTTTATGTGTAGTAGAAGTGTTTGATTGATTTTTTAAAGAAAGATTTACATCATAACTGCAATTATAGATAACATTGTTTCTTGTTTTTATTTTTCTTGATATTTAGAATTGCAGAATATGTGTAGAGTGTGGCACACGATCTAGTTCTCAGTGGCATCACAATTGCCTCATATGTGACGCTTGTTACCAACAGCAGGATAACTTATGTCCTTTCTGTGGAAAATGCTACCATCCAGAATTGCAGAAAGACATGCTCCATTGTAATATGTGCAAGAGGTAAGAAGACACAGTTACTCTGTTTCATTTCCCTTGATCCATGTGATCATTTGCGCTGCTAGACCTTGAAAATTGCGTCACATCTGCCCAGAACTAGTATTAAGAGGGAAAAGTAAAGAAGAGACTGTTTAAAAATATGGAAGTAAAGATGTGTCACCCCTTTAAGAACATGAACAGATGCCAGATTCCTTTTGAAAACTTTTGTTGGCAGTTGCCAGCCTTTTATTCTCTAGCTTTCTAGCAGTTGCCTACCCTTTCCATAGACAGTAACTTGACTTTAAATTAGAAAATTTTATTTAAATGTACTTATTACTGCAGATGGGTTCACTTAGAATGTGACAAACCAACAGATCATGAACTGGATTCTCAGCTCAAGGAAGAGTATATTTGCATGTACTGTAAACACTTAGGAGCTGAGATGGAGCCATTACAGCCAGGTGATGAAGTGGAGATGGCTGAACTCACTACAGGTAAGTTGGGCATTTTTGCTCTGTTTTCTTAATATAAACGTGCCAGCCAGTTACCATCCTGTTATGCTAAATATAATGAAGAAATCCTGTTCACAGGATTTCTTGATCACGTCTTGTTCTCAGTTTCTACAATAGTAAGTGTATTCACTGTCATCATTTCTGAGTCTGATGGTTCATATCAGAAGCAGCTTTTTTCTGACAGTTTTCTTAATTCCTGACTTCTGGTCTGGTATGCTTTTCTTCTCTGGGCTCCTTGGGCTGGCAGTTCCTCAGCTGTAGGCTGTTGTCTTGTTTGTTCTTCATGATCTGTATTATCTTACTCTAAACAAGGTTTGTTTTCTAACACCCCACTTAAGTGTTTATTACCTCTGAATCCAAAGTTTCATTCAAGTAGAAAATACTTTTGATTGTATCCTGTTATTGTAATCATTGCAAGATTCTTGGAAAGTAATGAAAATAGACCTGCTTTACTAAATTGTTTTTCACGTATGGTGTGGCAACCTTAATAAAAGTCTTATTTTATCACCTACCTGTAGAAAACTTAGGTAGTGGTATTTCTGTTACTGACATGTTATTCCACAGTACCATTGGCATATAGTCATGGAATGCATATTCTTTAACATAGGAAAGTAGTGGTACACACCAGTAGTGCTAGCTGCATGGATACCTGAGCTGGATTGTTGCAAGTTTGAGGCCAGCCTGGGCAGCTGAATAAGACTCTTGTCTCAATACAAAGTGGAAAGAGAGTTGGGGTAGCTCAGTGGTAGAGCATTTGGGGAGCATTTGTGAGGCCATGGGTTCAGGCTCCAGCAGTACTGCAGATGGATGGATGGATGGATGGATGGATGGATGGATGGATGGATGGATACATATTAAAATGCGAAACCCCATAGATAGATAGACAGATAGATAGATATTTAACATAACTATATTTCATACTTACACTGAAGTATTAGTCTGGAACAGAAGTTAATAAAAGTATCTAACATGATGAGTTTGTACCTGGAATTATTCCAGATGGTAAGTTAATTTGTTTGGCTGTTGTTTATGGAGATGGTGGGGATGAAACCCAGGCCTTTGTTTGTCTGTGATCCTGTAAGAGACATTTTTAGTTGACACATAACCAATTACTTTTCAGTATGTTGTTTTGGCTTAAGAAAAATCTGTGTCATTTCTGATAATATACCCTCACCAGACTTAATTGTTGACTTAGTTAATAAAAACAAAAAGCTCTTTCTGAGCTAAAGAATTAATAATTTTTTCTTAAGATTATAATGAAATGGAAGTTGAAGGATCTGAGGAGCAAATGGTGTTTTTGGAGCAAGGAGATAATAAAGGTGTCAGTGATCAGGAGTCCACACCTGGCATTGTTCCGGATGGTAAGACGCTTGTGTCGGTGAATATAACCTGTTTTTTTGTGGAAAATGTATGTGTATGGTGACTATCCAAATATATACTATAACTTGAGTATGCTAAATAAAATTTACGCAAGGTTTTGACACTTTGCAAACTGTTTAGATCTACGAGCTTTTTAGAAAGATAATCTTAAGAGCAAATTAATAGGAAAAAATCTTACGCTGTGTGTAATCCATAGTTCAGCAGTATTAGCAATACAGATTTAATCATAAGCACAACTTGTTGAGGGATCTAGTGATCATAATTGAAAAAGCAATGCAATGTTTTCTTTAGTACTTACAATTACCAACTAGAGCTGCTGGTAATTATGAGATGTTTCATGCTGAGATAATGAAAATTGTATTTGATCAGGAGTCCTTTTGAGGATAATTTCAATGATGTGTCAATTTGATTTTTATAGTGTTAATACCTCTTACTGTCATTGAAGATTTGGAATTAATATGACAATTGAGGGAAAACTAGTAAATCATGGGCTTATCTGAAAGTGATACTATCTGTGTTGTATGATAAAATTATATAGTTTGCATGTATGCTTAAAAGGCCTTCAGTCTTTTGACATACATTAAGTTCACATTTAACAACCCATCAATACAGAGTTTTACTTCACTGGGTGCAGTAGCAGCATCTGTAATCTCAGCCAAAGGAGGCTGTGGCAGTGAGACAGAGGATCACCCACTTGGAGTGATCCTGGTCAGCTTACTGACTTAGCAAGACCTTGTCTCAAAAATTTTTAAGAAGTACATAAAAAAGTATTTGGCATGTAATATAGCATGAAGGCCTTGAGTTTAAATCCCTAATACTGCCCACTTAACAATAGTAACAACAATGAAGAAACTGCACAAAGATGGTATACAAGAAAAAATAAATGGTAACAAATCTTATTATGTGTATATAAATTCCTAATTTCATCTTTATATGCCACTTAGTAATAAGTATGTTTTGTGCTTATGTTGGAAATTGGTGTTTTGTGGTAAGGCAAAACTCTGATATTGTTTTGGGAGCAATGTTTATTGTTATACAAATAATGTTAGTGCAATTCTGACTCCTGATAGAGATAACATAATACATTCTTTGTGGCAGTTCAAGTTGTCCACACCGAAGAGCAGCCAAAGAGTAACCCACCGGCAAGTGTTGACCCAGATGGCGTTCTCATTTCTGGTAAGAGTGTGTTCCAGCTGTCTAATGTTATAGTTACAAGCTAATCCCTTTATGTTTATTCTGCAGGTTCGAGAGATTGTCCATTAAATTAACTTTTCAAATAAATTGTTCCAAAGACTTTTTTGCAGTTGGTTCACATAGTTAACAGTAGCAATCTTTGAGTCAAGTGAAACATTTTTGAAGTGAATTGACAATTGACAGTTTCTCATAAACATTTTTGTTTTTTAAAAAATGTTTAACATTACCTGTTCTGTTTCTTGCTGTTTTTCTTTTACCTGCAACATTAGTCTTTCAATAAAGCAGGAATGAGATGTGAGTTCTGATTTTTGTATCAAAGTATAAATTTTAATCAGTGATCAACAAATAATGGAATTATTGTCTTTATTAGTGTACATTAAGAGTTGCCTTGAGGACACCCAGAACAAATGACTGATCTTCAGTTGTGAGAGTCACATAGGGCTCTTGCCAAATGGGCCCTGAGCTAAAGGTTTAATACACTGTAACTCAGATTTTAAGTTTACCAGTTAGTGGTGCTATGTATCTGTATATGTATCTGTGTCAGGTCATCTATATTCATTTGTGTCTGTTTTAGTTATTTTCTTGTTTCCAAATACCCAACACCTACAGTTTAAAGAAGGGGAAGTTTGTTTTGTTCATGATTTCTGTCCATGCTCAGCTGGCTGCAAGGCAGCAACCGCCTGGCAGAGGGGCCTGCCAGAGAGAATGGTGATCAACCCCTGGCAGCCAGGAAGTGGAGAGAAGGGACAAGAACACCTGCCATGCCACACCTGCCTCTGCCAGGCCCCACCAGCGAAGTCAGCTGTGCACTTACCTGTGGGTGAACCCACTGATGTGTGTAGCACCCATGGTTCAGTCCCCTTCCAGACACAAAGCTTTTAGGGCTACTTCATATCTAAACCATACTGCTATCTTTCAGTATCTAATATATTTATTTGAGAAGATTAATTTCTTATGTTCTGATAATAAAAAAGATCAAGAATTATACACAAAATATATCTTAGGTAGATTGTCAGGTATAGTTAATAAACAAAGTAAGTCTTGGTGATTGTTAAGTATTTTCTATATGTGCTCAGTACTCATTTTGTTTCTGTGTAAGGAGTTTTACACCTGAGTACCTGCCAGATGTCTTTTTATTGGAGACCATTCTTTACCTTTTAATTTAAATACTGGATATGGTGTTACTGATCTTCCTTTTCCTAGTTTTAAAATGAATGTGATAATTGCACGTACATACTTTTCAATCCTCTGTAAGTGCTCAAATTGTAAAACATGATTATAGGTATATGCTAGAATTATAATAATAATTTTCTTTTGGTTTTCTTATGTGAAAGTGCCCCAGATTCTGGGGATTCTATTAAAGCCGTGTTTTTAGAAGGTAGGGGTGTGTGAGTCCAGCCTATAAACCCTTGTGCTGTTTGGCTTTTATCAAGTGAATAGTTCCCTTTCCTGACGAATACCTTTTAAGTGGAAATTTAGCCAAATATTCTATACTTATTTATAGCTAGACATTTAAAATATTATACATATTAACTACAACAGATATTCTCTGAATTTTATAGAAACTTCCCCCAATAAAATGAATTCTGAATTGGAAAACGAGATTTCTTGTGGACCTGCTAGTGAAAAAATGGAACTGTCTTCTAAAATGAGACATGTTCATGATGAAGATTCAAAAGAAGACAAAATGGAAGTGATAGAAAATATTAAAGTCCTTGTGCACCAAACTGCTGGGCAGCAAGAGCTGCAGTCGTCAGGTGAGCCTCACAGAGTGCCATGCAAAGAAGAACCACCGCGTCCAGCGTCGCCCGTTGAATCTGTCGCTGTTCCACCATCAGCCTTCGTGCCTACAAGAGAAGAAAGCACTTCATGTTCTAAGGAACAGGTGGTTACAGAAAGAGTAGAAGCAATAGAGCTGAAAGCAAAATCTGAATTTTCATCTGGGCTCCTGGATTTTGAAATGACCTCTGCAGTTGAGCATTGTGTGAAAGATGGTTTATGCCTAGGCGATAAGTCTGCAAAGTTACCATCTGAGGCAGAGTCATCATTTCCGCCATCAGCAGACATGGGCAAGACTAATGTGTCTTCCTCTCCGACACTTTCTTCAGACCTGCCTTCGCACGACATGCTGCATAGTTACTCTTCAGCTCTCAGTTCTTCAGGCAACATTATGCCAACAACTTACATCTCTGTCACGCCAAAAATTGGCATGGGCAAACCAGCAATTACCAAAAGAAAGTTTTCTCCTGGCAGACCACGATCCAAACAGGTAGGGTGATTTTAATCACGTTGACAGTAAAAATATTGGAACACTTAATGATTTTATAAAATAAGCAGTTTGCATACAGGTTTCAGTTGGAGGGCAACATTCTGTGTCCTTCACAGGAATTCAGACATAATGTTGACTTACGTGTTTTTGGTCATTATTTAGAAAATAGTGTTAGGGAGGAATGCAAGGTTTTGTGTTTTTTTTTTTTTTTTTTTTTTTTTAATGGTCTTTTTGAGACAGAGTCTTGCTATGCAGTTCAGGCTGTCCTTGAGCTCACATTGTAGCTCAGGCTGGTCTTGAACTTGGAACAGTCCTCCTGCCTCAGCCTCCTGAGTGCTGGAATTTCAGTCTCGTAACACTCCATCTGGCTATGAAGAATGTAATTTATCAAATTTAAAATTATATTTTGGGTTTTAATTTAAGCTGTGACATAAAAAATAAGATCTATTTGATTATAGTTCTCGTAGGAAGCACTTAAATTTTTTTTTTTTTAAAAGCGAAGTGTGTGGGCTGGTGAGATGGCTCAGTGGTCTAAAGCACCTACTTAGAACAAGCTTAGCAAAGCACAGGGACCGCGGTTCAATCCCCCAGCACCACA